AAGAAAGATTGGAAATGGGAAGTTAGAATCCAAAACTTCCAATCAAATACCAGCTAACTATGATCTTTTGTACTAATCCGGGCTTGTTATCCATTTAGCTACACACCAAGAGACAAATTATGATCCATTCATGAAGGTGGTTTGAAATTTGGAATGGATAATTAAAAGGGTATATTTTTATTTTTTTAATTGATTGAGGTGAGTGATATAGAAGCTATAAACGTGGAGTATTATCCACACTGCACTTCCCTCGTATGGACGTATTATATGATTATAAGTACACATACTTCCAATGGCTAATCAATTGGAACCATACCTTTCTTATATGTGTCCAAAGTTGTCATTTTGGCATCCTACCATCATGTTATACTATATATGTGCACTAATTGTCATTTTCCTTAAACAAAAACAAACCCATATGACCATATCAATTAAAAAAATAAAAATAATTGTCATTTATGGATGAGGCATTTTAAAATAAATTGTCCCTTCAACATTTCAATATATAGCACCCTTGGAGGCTATAACCAGTTACCTCCAATCGAGGCTCCATCATAGGCATCTCGATCTGATCTCATGCAATGGGTGGACTCAAGTGGAGGGTTAGGGTGTGTCGAGATACCCATAAATTTGGAAGAAAAATTAATGAAATCTTATAGCAGTTTGAGTACTAAGGGAAAAAATGGTAGTATATGTGATTCGTATATGTAACACAGTGGTTATTAGAAAACATCTTTCTATTTGACTACACCATTTGTTGATGTAATTTTATCATAAACATGTAGCCCATATTCTCAATTTTTTTGAAAGCCTATATTAAAGCCACGACCTACCCGTTATCCCCACCATATTCTAACATACGATTTTATCATGAAGAGTATGATCATCTTTCTGATTCTTTTCTTCTACGGAATTTTGAAAATCATTATCATTGTGTTAAAAAATAATGAGTTATTCAACGAAAAAAAATAAAAAATAATGAGTTTTTATGGATTAACAAAAAATGATGAATTAGCTGAGTTAATTGTGAAAACAAAGATAAATCTATAAGTTTATTTGCTTCAATATTTTGGATGGAATTCAACAGTGCTGAATGACTAAAACTTCATCTCTTTATCTAAATCTTCAAACCATTTTGTTGTCGAATTATGTAAAAATCTTCTTCCTTTTAGGCCTCTAAAACAACCCTTCACCAACTATTCCGAGTGCTTAATGGTTTTGTTTCAAGTCTTTCAACGTGTTTTGGTGGGAGAATAAAGAATAAGAAGCCGCCTTCAAAAGTAACAAGGCAACCCCTCGCGAAGAATGCCTTTGGAATTTTGAGACAAAGAAAATGATAGAAACAACTAAAATAAAGAGAGCCGCCCCAATATAATAAAGGTCCATTTGGGATAATTGGATAGGTATGAATCCGCCAAAAGAATATTCAAATAAGTATAGCACTCAAGCTTGTGGCATAGTTGATGTTTTTATTTTGAGTTACTTATTTGGTAATACTTAATATCTTGTAACACTTGATCAATCAACCCGAGCTAGTGGGTACATACTAGCCACTAGCTAGCCAACCCAAATGTTCCCTTAAGCATAACAAAGTTAATTATACACATGACAGAAGTTTCGAGTGCCACCACTTATTCTATCATTCAATTGTTTCGTGAGTTAATATCACTAGTACATTTAATATGATTTAATTGTACAACTAAGAATAGTGTTCCCTCTCGCGGTACACAGATACAATCAAATAAAATGCACCAACAATATTACAACTTATAAGGAGTTTTCATGCAAAATCAAAAGAGATGGTTTATGTGCTGATTTTATGATTTTAGTTACGTTTAAGTATATGATAATACAATAGATACTACCAAGCAAGCATGGTTGCTCATTTCTGTCTTGTATATGCCTTTAGTTCTCTCTATGTATTCGCTCAAAAAATCAATTATAAATCATTCATGATTTTACTCCGCGATGTTGATTACAAGCTATAACAAGTGTATCAGGTCAATAAATATGTAGGGTTAAGCGATAGCGATACCATAGCCAACAAACACGAATGTTCTGCCAAGCACTTTCCATGGCCTAAACAAAAGATCCAAAAGGAAATAAAAAATCATGGCTGAATTTGAAAGTGTTTTAGCAAAAGAAATAATGTTATATTCCATCGTGATTCATATGTCAATATTGGTTACTGAACATTATTAAAATCGTGGGTCCATAAGACTAATTGGAGAATAATGTCAATTGACAGTGTGAAGTGTGAACTGAATCAAAGTGGGAATTTAATTTTGAAGATTTGATTTGATTCTTAACTTGGCATGGAAAGATGGAGAAATATCGACTTATCGAGTATCTATCTATTGCCGATGGATCCACTTGGCTTCTTTCTCAGTTGCTGTTAATGGATAACCTGGATCGCACACTTGTAATATTGGGACTATAGCTAGTTGAAGACAATGATTTCTTGGCCCACTCTTGATATATATGGTGTTACATGTATTGATTGTTGATTGATAATTTTGATCTAGCATTATCGAGTAACTCGTTAGTGCTTAATTATGTACAGTGTGTATTTGTAAATATATTTTGTGGGAAAAGTTTGTCATTATTGTATGCTTTAAGCAATCATTTGAAAAATTATGTTACATTCATGTTACAAATGTTATCTCGATAAGATGAGTAGTTTTTATAGACGATGTATATGTTTGTTAAAATATTTGGTTTGGAGATTTTTTCAGTGATATGATTGCCGAACTTAACCAGTTATCTGAAATATCACTCAAAACCTATATCATCACAAATATGATTTGTAGAGTGACTCCACATTCAATCATGACATGTCTACTGTGAGGACAAACTCCGCATTGTGCCTGATTTTCTAGCCACTAAAACTAGCCAACAATCTGCTAGCTTAGATTTGTATTTTTTGAGCAACCATAATGTGGGTCTCGCATATAAATTATAGTACGTGTATGATGTTTGGTGTAGTGATGTCTAAGATGACATGTTAAGCGATGTATTGTTTTTAGGGTTATAGGTATAATATGCCCCTCTACTATGACGTTTTATCAAATATGCCCCTCTACTATTTTTTACATCAAACATGCCTCTGTACTTTGGAAAACTTATCAAACATGCCCTTTTGTTAAAATTTTCATCCAAAAACCGTTAACCAAGACCGAACTTTGGTTTGGGCAACCCAAATATCTAAAATATCCCTAATAATTTCACTTTGGAGTTTTTTTGTTCTTTTGTATAGCCAAATAATTCTAATAATTTCACTTTGACGAGACCTAGAGAAATAAAACAAGGGTCAAAACTGACATTTCCCCCTCCCATTTATCGATGTCAGGTCGTCTAAATCTCGGTTCAACCATGATTGACGATTTTTTCAATGGAAATTTCAACTGAATGGCATGTTTGATAATTTTTTCAAATTACAAGGACATGTTTGATGTAAAAAATAGTAGAGGGGCATGTTTGATATAACGTCATAGTAGAGGGGCATATTATACCTATAACCCTTGTTTTTATTTATGAAAAAGACAATTATTCATAGAAGAAGGATCTAGTTTGTGCATACCTTCATAAAATCATTGGTGCCTCTCTTTGCTTACCCATTTGAGTAGGAAACTAGGCATAGGATGGTCCAATTACATTGGGCAGTACGTTTACTTTTATTGTGTCTTTGAATCTTCGTAATTCAAATTATGATGACAATAATTATTTGGTTTCTTGTTTTGTTTGACTCTCCATTATTGGTGGACTTAGCAAGAGACTCCAAAAGGAAGAATTAATTGACACTCTAATTGTTATCATTATACTTATTTGCCAAGAAACAAAGGGCACCAAAGGTTTGCTTGGTCTCACAATTATTAGAAAATTGATTAAAATCTTGACTATATAGTATAGCTTCCAAATGAAATGAGAATCTCAGCAAAGCATCTACCTTTGTTTAGAAAACATCAAAGTGGGCCCGTGGATTTATTTGCTACCAAATTTATTAAACTAGTGGTAATTTGGTTGGAGGAGGTTTTTGTGAGTCTTTCACATTCAACTGTGTTTCATTAATAATTTTAAAGCGCTTCTTAACGATGGATTAAACTAGTTGTAGTTAGATAGAAGTGTGATCGAGGGAAATGATACTCCATATATGCTTTGGGATGCTTGAGAGAATGACAATATTATAAAAAAAATTTGTAGCTATTAGCGAATTTTTTTGGTTTTATGTTGAACTTTACTAGTCGAAATATGAATGTAGTGTAGGATATATGGTATATTTTGTGATGTATGCGATATTAGTTGGGTTTGATCTGTAATTCTCAATAACCTTATTGAACCAGTTTTGGCTATTTTTGGCCAAGTCTACAATGTGAGTGTATATACTTGTCCAAAGGGGTATCAATCCAACAAAAGCTTTGCTCACCTCAGCTTGAAGAAAAAGCGAACTTCCTTTCATTGGGTTAGAGTTGTTCACTTCTTCTCGTCTTCCTCTAAATTCCACAACGTACAATATGGATAATTGATGATTGATTGTCCATTTGGTATCTGATTCGGAAAAGCTCACTTATGATAATGACTTCGAGATCCAAAGACCTTACCATGATATTATGTGATGACCCATGGGCTTAATTCGTCTTAAGCCCATACAATTAAAGCTCATTTGGCCCATCAAGGACCCATGACCTTGTCATTCTTTCTTTCAATGGCGGTTAGGGATGGCAATGGGTCGGGTCGGGGACGGATAGTGCATATCCGTTACCCTACCCAAAGAAGTTCGGGTTTTACACATACCCATACCCACATATGAAACGGGTAGAAAATTAAAACTATGTCCATACCCGTTCGGGTTTCGGGTATCCACGGTTATCCATGGGTAATGATTTCTCTTCATAACTCCAACTAATATATTAACATTCACACATATTCTCACATTATGCAAGAGGAAAAGTATGACAATAAGTCACTAGAATGAAGAAAATTAATTAAAACAACACAATTTCATGAAAATATTATATTTATATGCTAAATATAAAATATGTTAGAGAAAAATAATGACTATTTCTAGACAAAATACATATGTATGTGTATAATCGGACGGGTTCGGGTTGGATACTGAGAAACCCATGCCCACCCATTACCCGCAATATTCGGGTTCGGGTTTTACCCGTACCCACTAAATGTCCTTCGGGTTCGGGTTACCCTACCCGATCAGGCCGGGTTCGGGCGGATATCCACGATTACGGATAATTTTGCCAATGGCGGTTCCACCGCTGATATGGTACGGTTTGGGAATTAAAATGGCGATAGTGGTGAGAAGGCTGGCTGCCGCCGTCACCGGAGCGTGCAGGCTTTAAATTGGAAATTACATTCAGCTCCAGAAGTAGATTTACAGAGTAGAGCGTCTTAGGGAAACAAACAACATACAACATTAGAACTCCTAATTTGATCCAAGTTTCCGTCGGAGCAAAAAAAAAATTCAGGCCCGCCGTGGATCGACTCCGACGGACTCGAGTGTCTCAGCGCGCGCGCGCGGGCGGGCATAAACATCGCCGGTCTCAGCAGTAGGGCGAGGCAAGGTCTGAATCCCGCTCTTGAACTCCTGGACATGGGCCACTTTCCTGAACCACGAGTGGCCCAAAAACCTGGTCGACTCGTCCACCACCTTCTCCGGCTCCACCACCTCCGGCAAAGTCTCCCTCAGCCTCTTCTTCACCCGCACCGACGGGCTGTACAACATCTGGTGCGCCACCGTGTGCAGCCCCATCGACGCCGACAGCACGATGAACCCCAGCGCCACGTACACCGGCGCGTACTCTCCCCTCGGCGGCCACCACGACGACGACGACTTCCTCGCGAATTGATGATGGTCCGCCGCTGGGGAGTATGGTTTGGTCTTGGGCAGAGTTGATGTGGCGAAGGTGTTTGTGTTGGTGTTGTTTTTGCCGCCTATGAGAGGATTCAGCGAGCGTTTCCAAAGACCCTGCAAAAGGGAAGGTTAATACTTAATAGATTATTAGGCTGATTGATCAAGTATTATGCTTGGTTGATCTGAACGGAAGGTTGATTCAAAGGTGGCTTACTGTTGATCTGAAAGCCATGGCTTCTTGTGCTGTAGTAGCAAGAGACTCTTTGTTCTGTTTTGGTAAGGTGGGATCTTCTTGTTTATGTGATCCGTCAGTGGTTTGGCGGGCTTATATAGTAGAGAAAGGGCCAAGGGGGACTCTGTATCTTATGGATTGGATGTTTCATGAATGTAGAAGCCATAGGAAGTTAGTGTTCTTCTCCAGAACCCTCCGGAAAGGGAAGTGAAGTGGGTACGTCATGCTTCATCGGAACAATTTTCTGTCTTTTTCTTCCTTTCCAAGTAACGACAATACTTTAATATAAATATATCATGTTCCATGTGAGGTCTTGTATAGTTTCTGAAGGGATGCAGGGGAAAGTGTCACTTCCGTAGCAGAGAACTTCATATAACAACGAATTCGATCAATACATGTATGAGATAGTAAAGACTCCAACTAGAACCAAAAGGAATGGCAGTGATACAAGTGGGAAAAATGGGTCAAAACAGCAGTATGTAGCAACAAAAGAATCTGCCAATTGTTCAACTGATCTAATATAAGCTGAAGGTCAGAGCTAAAACCTGCAGGCACAGAATTGTAGAGCATCTCTGTGCTGTGATTTTTATCAGAAGGAATTAGAAAACTCATGAAGCATTCCAAGCAGAAAGAGCCAAAGTACCATATCAAATTATCGAGAGCCAATTCATCTTAATAACTTAGGAGTGATTGAGAGAGGTGCAATAATGAGGTCATACATCATTCATTGCACAATTACATGCGTCCTCGCACGAAAATGAACACAATGGCTTGAAATTTCGCATGCATGTGTTATACCTTATGCTCAAATCACTAATGGTGTTGAGAAGGGTTAGTTCGATACTTCGATTCTGTCTGACACACACACAACCAGACAACCTTTCGGTTGACAAACATTTTATATGTTGAGAACCTATTCTTGTCAAAATAATTTGAGTTGCTGAAGAAACTTGTGATGGACTGCTTGATGCTTTATGGAAAATGACATCCTGAACTCTTAAGAATTATGCAGAAGGGAGGAAGAAAATAAAATTACTAACCAAGACTGAAGAATTAGTATACTAACTGCCCATGTGTTAACATAATAACGGCAAAGTACCCAATAGATTCTATTGCTACTATCTGTATAGCAATATAAAGAGCATACCTCAATTTTCTATATTCAATAACCCAGGAGAATAAAAACAGATCATCTTCATCTATCAATCCCTCCATTCAGAACCTGGAGAAGGAACCAAATAATTTGTGAAAAGGAAAAGAGAAAACAAAGATACCTCACACTATTATCCAACAAACCTTTCTGTTGAATAAAATTCACCTATTTCTGGATGTGCACAACTCCCACCTGCATCAAAAGTCCCACAACCCCAAAAGGGAACAACAAACAGACATTAATATCACTCACAAGTTAAGTTTTTGGGCGAAAATAGATATGGAAGATGGAAACTCGAGTAAAGTAATCACCTTTAGTTTGAAGAAACTTGTTGGTTTTACCCATTTACAAAGAGAGGGAAGCAAAATCCTCAAATCCAATCCAATCCCTATTATGACAAACAAACCATGAACCCAAAATCCACAAATTCCCTCTCTTTTCTCCCTCTCCCTATATATCAACAAACAAACAAATCTCTAATCCCTATAACACCATCGGTGCAATCCAACAGCATCAACACACTGACTGATCGTCCCAAAAGTGAGCAAACTGGCTCAACTGTAATCATTTTTCTCTGACTGCCCTCCCGACCCTTGCGAATCATCCTTCCCACCTTGCTGCTGCTGCTGACTCTGATTCTGACTATTCTGCTGCTGTAAATGGTGGTGCTGATTCACTCTCCCTTGACCCATCTGCTGATAAATTTGACTCAAAGCCTGTGGATTTATCACTCCAATATGCCCATCCTGTGACAACCCAAGCTCCAAACCAGGCAATTGCTGCTGATGATGACTACTATTACCGTTCCCCCCTCCCAAAATTGATGCAAAGCTCATATGTCCCAGATTTCCACCACTCAAGTCGAACCCAGCTGGAAACCCAATTTTCTGCAAGTAATTGTTAGGATTACTATTCTCAGCAAGGGCAGAAGCGTACGGCCAAATCCCTACTCCTGCTGGTGGCCAATTGGTGGGCCTACTGGAGCTGGGCCCCAAATCAGAATGAACCCCAGAGGAAGGGAAATGAGAAGTAGAAGAAGAAATGGGGAGAGGACCAGCTGAAGCCAAGGCAGAGGCCGGGATGGTCCCAGTACCGGTGGCAGCTATAATGGAAGGCTCAGCCTGCTGGAGAAGCCACTGGATGGTTTCTCCATCGGATTTATGACCTAATTCTCTGGTCAACTGGAAAATCCTTGCTGCACATAGAGCTGGCATCCTTATCCTCCTCCCTCGGCCTTCAACTTTCGTGTGCCTGTCCTTGTTTGAGCTTCGCTTGGGAGCTAACTGCTGGGTCTGGTTCTGGGTCTGAATTTGGGGTTGGGTCTGCTTCTTGGATGGTTGTGGTGGTGGGTTTTGCTTTGGGTTTGATTCTGCTGCTATTACTATTTGGAAGTCCTTGATTTCAGCTGGTTTGTTGCTGCTGGTGGTGGTGTTCATCTCTCCCATGGTTCTGCTGTTGTTGGCTAGGAGGTGTTGCAGTTCATGAGATGATGTAGAAGAGGACGAAGAAGGGTGTAGGAGGTGGTGATGTTTTGAGTTGGAGGAGGTTTTGGGATCCATGAGAGAAGATTGGTGGGCTGAGATTAAGATAAAGAAATAAAGACTCGATTTTTATTTTATTTGAGGGGAAAGGAGGATTTTTTCCTTTTGGGATAGTTCTCTCTCTGCTTCTATCCTCTGTTTCCCACTCTCTGTGTCTCTGTTTGCTTGGAGGATGTTTAGAAGGAGGTGAGCTGGGAGAGAGAAAGTCCTCTGTTTTCATGACTTCTCCTTTGTCACTGTTTTTGGGGGAGGGGGAAAATAGAACTGCCAGAGACTAAAGATGTAGTCGTAAATGAATCAAAGTAGATAGTTAACCCATATGTGTTTCAACCTACACTATCTGCGGTTAGTTCAATTATGCAATGCATTCTTGGGTTTTTCTTCAAGTTATAATTCTCTCATGCATTGCATTCTCCATTGCATGTGGATTCTCAGATTGGTTGCATTTACTTATTTATTAATTAATTAGTATTATTATTTTATCTCATGAGGCATGGCATTGCATGCCATAATTGAAACAAAAGGGCATTCATGTTGCCCTGTCTTACAAGGGAAGGAAGGGACTCACACTCACCCAATTCCAATTGCAATTGGGGAAAAGAAAAGAAAACCCAAGTGAGATGCTTGGCTTCTCCCTTGTGACATGCACCTGCCTACGTGGACACTTGTGATTAGATAGTGAACATTCCTTTCTATATTATTAAACGATTATATTTTGATAGACTTGGCCATAATTTACAAGTCACTACTATATCCTATTAGGAATTATTGTGTTTTGAAGAATGAGTAATTGCTTTATATATAGTCTTGAACTAAATAACTTACAATCTTACATCAAATAATTGTCCATAATAAGTTGGTTTAAAACTTGAATTGTTTTAAAAAAAATTAAATATGAATGTTTTCAATACTTAGTTTAAATTGTTAGAAGGAATTCATGATAAATCTTAACGTTACCATATAATAGTATCCATAAAAAAAAATTAATACAAATTTTCTCAATAGTTTAAATTGTTAGAAGGAATTAATTATAAATCTTATTGTTCTCGTATAATAATTTCCATAACAACTCTAAATCGAAGATAAGTAAACCAGAACAATTCATTTAAAAATATCCATAGCAATTTTAAATGGAAGATAAGTAAAGCAAAACAATAATTAACTATAAGATCAATCACTCAAGAGCCTGAGGAGTGATAAAGGGTGGCATGGAACATGGTTAGGGTGGCTTACAAATTGATTGTTTATGTGTAATTAGTGCATGAGTTCATTATCATGAATTGGGTTCCTCTTAACACTTTACCTCTTTTCTTTTTTCCTTTACATTTTTCTTATCAGATTTCCTTTTGTTGTTTAGGGTAAATATCCTGACAGTACTTTTGGTCTTTGTCTTGCTTTTCTTTTCAACCATCTTTGTTGCAACTGTAGTACTAGTGTACTACAAATATTTGTCAAATTCCCATTGCTTTTTATTTTTTCTTTCTCTTATTTAAGTATTTATTTCCAGAGGGTTTTTATATGATTTTCCAAAGAAGGAAAACTGTACATTGCCTGGCCACCTGGTTGATGCCAAGATTAACTGTGAATTAAGTCTTTATTTTCTTCAAATAAAAAAAAATGAGAGATGATATTCAAGTATATGGATATAGTCTATATGAATATTAGTCTGATAATCTAATCAAATTAAAGGTTGTAGTGTCAAGATGTGAGTTCAAATTGCGAAATCAGTGAATTCAAATGCATCATTCTTAACTCGATCAAAGTCTGTTTATTTCTGATTTATTAGTTTATTTATTAAGGTTATTGCTCCATGATAATTTAGTTAATTTCCATGAACAAAAGAGATAAGACTCTGCAATTAAGAAAGTTGATGATTACTTGATTGCGTATTCCAGAAAACAAACAAAAAAAGGATTACTTATTCTAGGGTTTTGATATATATATGAACAGATTTGTTTTTTTTTAGACAATAGTGCTTGAAATAATCATAGATAGAGCTTACAGTCTTTTTTTTTTTTTTATAAAGATAGAGCTTACAGTCAAATAAAACATGGATGGCATAATTATGTAGTGCTAACAAAGATAATGATGGAAACTGAAAGAAATATTCTGATCAGATAAAGCAAAACCCAGCTAATATAAGTGTTAATTAAGTTCAACGTAATTAGTGTGTGAGCTGTATGTTTCTAGAAACAAAATCTGAGAGAGATCAAATTATATGTTAACCTAATTTTGTGCCACTAAACCATAAGCGCTCACAATAAATAATTTAGCCTCCTATGAGAACAAAAGTACAACCTTTATATGTATTGTCAAATATGACATTCATGTTTGTTCTTTTAAAGATTACTTATATGACATATAAACAAATATTTTAGTGATAAATATGAGCCATTATGTTCAAGCTATAATTGTAATTGAAGATGAACTTAATGTTGTTAGTGTTTCGAAATTACATATATCATCTTGAGTTGTCAACCGATAAAGAGAATTGACATTTTTTTAGATATATCAATTATTTACACTCCTCTTCCCAACCACGATATGAATCAAACGAAAACAACTTCAAACAAGACAAAGAAATAATTTTGTGTGTCATCCTATGGTAACCCAATTAGCATTTCTAGCGACCATATTAAACTCTAAATAACTTACTTCTAGAACTAACATCATCCAAAGACAATTTTCTGAGCATTGAGACTGCTAACCGAATCTCACAAATCCAAGAGCAAGTTGACAAATCACCACTTCTAAATCATCTTCGAGTATCACATTTTATAAATCGAAGCTGAAAATCACAAGAAACTCATCTCAATTTAGCCTCAACTCCACAAGATAGGAATCCACTATTGCCAATATGCCGAAACCCGCAACCAATTGGCATTGAGATTTATTATGGGTTTGGGGTGCTAACCATCATTTGGAAAAGAAGGTAATCACATATGTCTCCACTATTAATCAACTAATATAATCTCTCTTCATTTAACTCTTTAGTAAAACTAATGGGGAAAAAAAAAAGCTTGGATGGATTCGAAAATGTGGAGGGAAATAGGAGGGGTATACACTTGTCAATAGTAGATGAGTTATTGTAATATGAGTTTGGATGCCAATTTCTAAGCTGAGGAAAAGGACAGGAAGTTCCTTGAGTTTCTCCGATGACAAAGATGCCTCCATTATTATATTCACTTAACGTGTTAACCAAAATAATTAAATTATAATTATGATTGTGGAAAGGAAAGAGAACCCAAATCTCAATAGATAGGGCATGAAAGTGATATTGTGGTTTGTCTTAATCCACAATCTAATCAAATGTATTTTTATAATCATCAGTTCATCTCCACCAAACAACAATGAACATATCTATACAAACACCACCAAAGCAAATGGGGATTTGAGTAAATAATTGTTTACTAGTTGTATATATTATTGCTAAGCTAGGGAGGTAACAACCACCTAAGATGCTTTTGTAAGATTTGTTATATATGTTCCATAATTGAAGGGTTGCTAACATTTTCATCAACTCTGTGTTTTAAACTAGTAAAACTCTGGTCACAAATGAATGACAAAAGTATGTGTAATAAAATATTGTAGAAATAATGAAATAGACTACCAATGAAAGCTATGTAATTGCTTCAACTTTTGTTCTATTTGGCTCACTAATTGATATTCTCAGGAAAGTTTTATGAAAAATTTAAAAAAATGGTAATTGATCAACCAAATTTTTATTTATGAATGATCGGTCGATTTTAGTTTCTTATTCACTTCATCTTACCTAGTTCTAGAAGCATTTGAACTCATAAACCATTAGCCTAGTCCATAATACAGTCAAAAATTGTAACAAATTTAAAAAATACCCTAAATATTTTTTTTATCAATGAATGAGAAAATGATACCAATCTTGACTTCATTTTCTCAATTACACATCCAAAATGGTTTTAAAATTCAACAAAATTTTCAAAAATTTGCAAGTTGGTATGAAAGCTGTTTTCCCTTTTTTTTCTTGTTGTTGAAGAATCTGAAGGAAGGAGAAAAAAGAACTATAAATATGCAATAAAGAGAGGGAGTGGATGTGGATAGATAAAAGATAAGGGTTGAGAAGGATTCCTTCATCAAGTCATAAGTAGAAGAGAAAAATCACTGTCCCATGACAAAGACACACTTTCAAGCTTCTACCTCTAAAATTGGTGATAAAAGAAAATTTAGGATCTTTTTTCTTCTTCTTCAATTTGTTTTTAGAGATGTAATTTTTAATTTTTATTTTTACATCTAATGCATGGAACTTTCATGCAGCTCTTGGTCACCATAATGGGAATAGATTTGATTTCCTATCAATCCAATTTTTCAGCCCCTTTTATCATTGTCTTGCACCCAACGTGAATAACAAGCAACTAAATACTAATCACCCATGAACTAAGGATACCCATTGGAAGGATAGATATTCCTTTGTTAATGTTTTTGGTAATTTGCATATCAAAGGGTAAATGACTCCTCGATTAGTTTATTCATGGCATTTAACTATAAGTTTTGATATTAATAATTTAGTTCTTGTTGCAAGAACATGTTTAACTTAAGTTGTCAATCTATCTCTTATTTCATCTATTGTAAAGTACAAATATTTCATATTGTGCATGAGATTTTGTTTGCATTAAGAAACCGAATTCCACCAATAGTTGAATAACTCATATGGATAAAAATGTTATAATATATATGCATCATCCCCAGCACTACAAGTCTAACTCAATGAGATAATTAATGTAAAATCTACCCACTTCCTTACCTAAATCTAATCTTCTGGGGGACATTTCCCTTTTTTTTGTTTAAAGGGGATTGCTAATGAATGATGGTGGTGGAGAGAGGAGGGGAAATTAAAGTGGGGTTTACTGTATTTGTGTGTAAGTGATTTTCATTAATTACTATTCATTGTTTGGGTGCTTCCTATGGTGGAGACAATATAGTAGGACCATTTTTCTCTCATTCTGCAATCCAGCTGTTTGAGAGTATGATGAATCATCTCCTTCCAATATAAACATAATTTTGAAAATTTCAACTTCAAATGCATTGAATATTGGAGGAGAAAAGAATAGCTAAAATAAAAACCATTGAATATTCGAACACGATTGGCAGTCATAATTGAACATGTACGTTCCAACAAATCAAATTATGGAGACTAAATGATTCATAACAAATTATCATAGTCTGATTAACTACAAACTAATACATGATGAACTTCAACAGGTTGTTTCAATATACATGTCCACTTTGTATTTAACATGTTGAAAGTTTGAAGAAAAATATTATACTGATAATGTTATTTATTGAACAACAAAATTATAAATAATGAATATGTTCTAATAGAAGAGAATAATCAATTTGATGATGTGGTGGTCAGATGTTATGCTTTTGTATTATCGAGCCAAGGTTTTCAAACACTACTTCCCATCCCGGTAAAGAGATAAACTTTGGATCTTTCTTCCTTTTTCAAAAGTTGCATTCGTTTTCGGCCAACCCATCTAGCTATAGCTAATTCCCAGCCTGCCAACGCAATCAACTATGTTGTCTCTTGTTGTTTTCCTACATTAATATATGTAATCTATATTATGACCTCTTGTCATGTGGCACAATAAATAATGTGAAGTATTAGTTAACATTTGGAGTTTACGTGGCATGCATCATTCTACTTCGATATATGTATATGGAACTTATATATGAACATTATTAAGACTATCCAGCTTCCAACATGCCTTCACTATGAAACTAGGGCAGTTCAATAGTCTATGTCGATCAGCTCGAAGAGCTAGCCTTTCTAGCTACAACTTGCGTTCATGGAGGTGTACGTGTGTTCTACGGATTTGGCAGCGAGTGTCAAAATCATTGTAAAGGCCGAGTGTTATCCCTGTCGAGACAATAGCAGCATAACAATAACTTAGAATCTCATTACGGAGTGGATCACCTTTTTAAGATCGACTGTACACCTTCTCTTATGAACATTCATGTTTTGTAACGATCAAATTTTTTATTATCAATTACTTGTTATTGTATGTCAATATCTCCATGTCCTATTCCAACAATACTTTAACGTACTAGGATGATACGCAATATCATATTCATGATATGTCATAGTTCCTTTTATGAATTTTTGTTCCTTGAATCAACCCAAACTCTTTTCTACATTGATTATTAGTTATTGTACGACATTCCAATTCCAATAATGTTTTAATGTAGTAGGTGCTACATAATATTGGATTCACAAATTCCATACTAGCTAACTCTGAGTTCCGATCTTACCCATGCAGCATAAATTTTGGTAGCTAAAAAGCATTATCAATTTCCATTTGTGTTGCTCTAGACTCATTACAGTTTCTGAAATTTGTGGCTGCTAGCTGTTTATGCTTGGGAGGATGATGATCCATTTCCACAAGTAGACAAAAGGTTCGATTAGATAGGTCGAAAAGCCATTACTAGCTAGATGGCTGGGCCGTGACAAGAAGTCAAATAGCCAGAATAGAATTAGAAGGGAAAACCCCAATCGACTAACAACACCATATAACAAGGACGAAAGGTCACAACCGATCAATTTATTGGTAGTTGGACGTTATAAGTTGGGGGATATATTGTTGTATATTATTACATACGGCTATTTTATAAATGGTGATACATTGAGGTTATTAATAAATTGGGCACTAAAATTTAATCTTTAGGCTCAATAATAAAATTTGAAAAAACTAATATCATCGATGATCCATTCACGATTTGTCATTGGAATTATCCAAATTAGTGTCTCTGACTCATCCAAATAATGGAAGATCACTTAGATTATAGTACCTGTTATCACGTACGATTAATTTTAAGTTTTTAACTCAAACTCAAGCAATCTAAACAAAAATCATTATTATTCCACAGAAGGCTCTGATACCATGTCAAGAATCAATTGATTTCAATAACTCGAGTTGTTGAGAAAAGTTCCGTAATAGATCTTATACCACACACTAACTTGATTTACAATGGCTAAGTAAGTTTTGGGTTTCTCATTTAAGTAATCTACTTTCGAAAGGAAAAATAATAATAATAAGAATATATTGTTTATCTTATCCTCCATAAATTGTGATGTATATTTAGATCTCAAATATTTTTCTTTTATTGCAGTTGGTTTGTTCGTACAGATTAAATTTATTTTCTGCATGGGGATATACAATGGCATTCTAATACGATAGAGTATGTGTAAATTTAATATATAAGCATTATGTATTCATAAATAGGAACTTCTATACGGTAACATAATGACTGGAATTTCGTTAAAGACAAAACAATATAAACCAACAATATAAAGTTCAATATCAAATTCTAGCCAACGAACTATTAAAAAATATAATTTTGTGTTGTACATATAAAAAACTACGATGCTTACTCAACATTAGGCGAATGAACAATATATAAATGTTTAAAATGTATAGCGAAATATATATGATTTGATCAACCCACAAGATTGAATTTATGATAAATCTATAGAAAACAAATTTGACAAAAGATTCCAAGTAACAAATGGACAACTCAATAACAAATCAAGCAAGCTTTGTTTTTTTTCTTCTTCTTTCCAAATCAAGCTTTGTTGGAGTATTAGTGTTTGATGATGACCCAATAGGCAATGAGAAATCAAATCACCAATGAGGCGATAGAGTTTTGGCAAACAATATGCAAACAAAACTGAAGAGATAAAGCAAAGAGGGAAATGGTGGCATAGGTTTAGTGGCAAACCCTAGCTAGCTTATCATTTTCGTTGATGAAATTGGCAACTAGATGTGTCAATAAGCAAAACCACGTGCTTGATGTGTCAATAAGCAAAGGCAATTCATAACAACACATCAAGAAAGAATTTTTCAATAGAGATTTCCTTTTCTTTCAAGGAATCTTAATTGGTATGTCATATCTAGATATGAAAGGGTTGGAATTGATCCGTATTGCATTACAAGTTTATTATATGTATTATGTATCAGTGACTTGCGTATTAATCAACCCTCCAAGCAATCGATTCCCTTTTCTGCAACAAAATACGTATTTGTTCTTGTCTTTCTAACTGTAGACCAAGCATTACACCCTATACTAACTTGAGCAACAGAGGCAATCCTCGATTTGGTTTCATACACACCTACGGAAAGCCACACTCAATAAAAACCCAAATCAAAACCTAAGATCAAATCAATCGAAGCATCGTGGCCCTAACAACGATTCAACATAATGAGATAAACCAGAGACATGTACTGAAAAGTGAAAAAAACTACGATACAACAAAGGATCTGTTGTTTTCCTAGGCTTTGCATGATATTTACAGTCACTTCTACACATGTACAGGCTCTCAAAGAGACCAGAGACTGCTTCTTTCCCTACCAAATGAGCTTACAACACATGATGGACTGTAAATTCCAGAGAGCAGTTTGATAACCCTTCAGCTTTGTCAAATCTCAGCGACTCAAAGCAGGACCGAAAGACATACAAATCGGCGGGTTAACCCTCAACAGCGAAAGAACAGCCGATGGTATAGTCCATATCCCGTCGCCACATATCAACCCGGAGGCAACAGCTCCTGCATAGTCCTCCGAATCCTTCCGGTTCACTCGCTCCCACACGAACAGTATCACCGTTCCCACAAACATGTCCACTGCGAAGTAAGCTCCGATGTAGAATGGGATCGCCATGGCCATAGGAATGGGAATGAACTGGGAGATCTTCTTAGGAGTGATGTCTTTGAGAAGGTTTATAACCAATGCAGCTGCGAAGGAGAAATAGCATATGGCTAGACAGTTCCTGGGGAGCTCCGACAGCCCTTCCACACCCAGTATCGCCATTTCTCTGAATATGACTGCGTAGGGCGCCTTGTAGGGTCCGTCCGGAGAACCTACATCGAAAGCCGACCAAAACATAAAGAAGGTCAATGGAGCAATGACGCATCCCATGGCTGTTCCGATCAGCTGGCTGACGAACATGGATTTGGCGGAGGATAAAGTGAGGTAGCCCGTTTTGAAGTCCTGCGCAAACAAAGGTAGTTAGCCAGGGCCATTATTTCGGTGATGACCGTTAAGGTAACCTGAAATCCAGAACCAGAACCAAACAGGAAGCTGCCCTTACCTGCATTAGGTCAGCAGCAGTCGAGACAATTGACATCATGACACCACAGGCAGCTAGTCCGCCAACAACTCCACCGTTAGGGCCAATAATCGAGGCGACAACAAAGAGGCCGATCTTGCCATAGGTGGAGGTCAGACTCCAGTCGGTTAGGCCTGTGCCGTACGAGTTGCAGAAGGCGAGAGCTGGTGCGAGGATGTAGCATGCAAGGACGAGGTACCATTTGAGAGGTGGGAATATGAGCGGCATTGTTGCGATTGAGATTGCTGCTAAGCAGACATACCCTGATGCAGCGAACCAGGAGGGGATTCTGTCTTTTAGAAATACAGTGTCTCTCTGTTTTTGCTCTAGTAGCACTTTTGAAGTCTCGTCATCTGGGAAATAAAAGATAGACACAATATTTCCTTCAGATCAAAAGATCAGGCCTGCTACTAAGTAACTAAGTAGCTTTCTAGAGACAATCAGAAACCTTACCTTGAATCTCGGTGATGACAGGAAGCTTGTGCTCTTTGGTGCTTTTGTTCAGCAATTCCTTGGTACTAACATAAATAATTTTAACTAGATTATAGAGTCCATCCCCGAGAATAATAGCAATAGATATGAAGACCTGCAAACAAAAACAAAGCACGAATGAACATCTCATTCCAGAAATGATTTCATGACAAAGAATACACTGCTGAAAAGGGTAAGTTGGGTCTTCTAGAAACCACTCGTGTCTTAACAATGTATAGAATCTCTGTTCATGAAGTCTGAGAAATGTAGAACGAGACAAGAGACTCAAGCTGTTTACTATCGTACCTTATATCCATAAAGGCCCTTGAAATCATTGCTACCGAGGTCAGCTGGATACCAGTCACCAGCTTTCTCAGAGATGAAGGGCCACAGGAAGCCCCAAGAGATGATAGCTCCCAAAAGACAGGAGACGTTAACTATGTGTGGACAAATAAGACCGCATCCAACATAAGTAGGACTAAAGTCGAAGTAAAACCTGCAAGGGTTAAAGTCAAAGTAAGAATGCTAATGCCAAAATAGACAAACTATATAGTCCCGCCAAAATTAGGAAAAAGTCCAAGCAACTTACGAGTTCTTGAAAAGTGTCAGACCAAGACTAGGGAAGTTGTCAAATCCACACGAGTCTCCAACACCACTGAAGAACCACTTGAAGCAGCTCCAGACAAAACTCATGCTCAAGTACTTCCCAAGACACTTGACTTGCTTACTGTAAATCAACGAAACGTCAAAAAGAAGACAGAGTTACAAGGTAATGAAACCTTGATTTCTCATGTCTGCAAACAAACCTATAGCTCTATCTTTCACCATCCAGAAGGCTACAAACTAAGAGGACTGAATGAATAGTATTACAAACTCACCCAGCTAGCTCTGCTCCAGTATCTGTATGGAAACTATTGATCAACATCGCCGTAGCAGTCCCACTTGGATAAGTAAGCTTGTAATCCATAACCATAACCTATCATCAAAATAAGAACCAGATTTAAAGCCGACCATCTATCTATCCATAATTTGTAGCAATACAGTGCCATGCAGGCCACAACAGATTATACAGTAAACATGTAGCCTCCAAACCATTAATTTATCCATTTAGTCATATCCCTTTTGACGCTAATTCACCAAATAATCAGAGAACAGAGGAGAAACAGACTACATAAGGTTACAAATGGGCAAAAACATTGAATGCTTTCATCAATACACACATTCACAGTTTAAGCTCGAATTGTATGATAAACTGGGAACTTCAACTTCTCCGCATAACACATATTAGCAAACATTCAATGATGACAGTGTTTGAAATGGATAAAGGAGCTACCTTGCGGAGTGGAACCAGGCTAAAGAGCCCGAGAAAGCTGACCACAAACATAAACCCAATCATCCATCCTAATCCAGGGTTCATTACATCTTGCGCCCGGTTTCCAGGATAGTCCTTACCAATCAGTTCATAAGTCTTCTCGTCCAGAGCAATCAAGTAGGATCCAAATCCACCTACCAACCATTATCAACAACTTCACCAATTAAGACAAGGAAAACCAAAATTCAAATCCAGGAAGCAGGCAATCACGAAGCTATATACCACTGAAGGCGAGGCCGTAAGTAGCGACAACACAAGTCTGGATCACCGTGTTCTCCTGCTTGGTGAACGGAACAACGGTGAACCCTAATTTGGACATTACTCCAGTCCAGGACTTGACAAAGAAGAACCCGAGTAGCCCGGCGGCGACGTTCAGCGAGGGGATGATTCCGACCGTGAGGTTGAGCTTGTGCGTGATGACGCAGAACAGTCCACCCAGCAGCGCGCTCACGACCAGGCCTCGGATGGTGATCTGCTCCTTCCATTCCGGTACCTGCTCGGTTGGGATGTCACCGCCGGCGACCTTGGTCGCCTCGCCAGAGTCCAGGAGCAGGGATTCGGATATCTCGGTCCCCATTGCCGAAACGGCGGCGGAGGACACTCCCTTTTAGCCGCTAAGATTCAGATCCAGAGACAGAGCGAGAGATCTGGAGAAGAGGAAGAAAAGGGATTCGATTGGGTGTGGAGTAGGTGTTGAACATTTTCCCGCAATATATTTTTGCCGAAGTGGAGGCTAGCGGTCGAACGAGTGAGGATCCGACACGTGGTGAGAGCTAGGGCCGTCGGATCGAGTGAGAAAGCGACAGGTAGTTATGGAGAGGCTGTTCCGTTACGAATGCGATTACCGCCAAAAGGATGATCAACTAGTTTATGCGTTGGGGAGTGTGATTTTTGAGAGGAACATCAGCGATGGATTTTAGCGACGGCGATGTGAGTAGTGATGGAAATGGGGAGAGGTGAGATCGGTACCTCAATATTCATGTCTTGTCCCACGTTATAATGGGTTGCAGCGGGTAATATCATGCGGGTAACGGGCGGGGCGACCAACTCTTTCTATTTATTATTTGAAAAAAATATATGTAAATTTTACTTTTTTTATAAAATGGAGAGAAAACACTTTAAGGATTTTAAGGATGAAAATAGTGATAATATAATAGGTAATTGAGTCTAACTAGTTCAAAGATCAAATCTAACTTGTTAAAGAAAAGTCTAAATATGAGAAATATGAATAGATATTGTAAGGAATTGAGATATAATAGGCTAAAAATGAGGCAAGTCGGAAGTAGATACCCATGCCCCGCCCCACGTTACTGTGGCTCAAGTAATACCCGCCCCATCGCGGATGAGTCGGGAATACCCGGACAGGTTTCAAAATGATGTGAACCACTACCACTATCCTTTTTTAATTTTATTTTTTCCAACAATATTTCTGTCTCTCATATATTTAACTTTGCACACACTTCTACACGTGTACAGGCTCTTTCATATATTTAATATATTCTAAGATTTTGTGAGGATATTTATAGTTCACTGGAGTTTCATGTTTCAAAGGCCCAAAGCTATTTCGTCAATTCTGGGCGGCCCTGGCATCAGCGAACCCCTCGGGAACGTAAACGGGATCACGTCCCTCGAGAATGGTAAGCTTGGGCCTTCAGCCCAGCATATAAAGAGAGCCATAAACGATCCATGTCCTATAAACCGGCCCAACGTGGTGCGCATAGCCATGCAAGTTCAGCCACGGTTTCCCTTGCGACAGACGTCAGAGGTGCTGTAAGTTGTGGAGGTTACTGGGTTTTCAGGAGCTTTGGAGACGAGCGGAGAAACGTTCTTTTACAGGTTTTATCAGAAATACACTGTGCAAAACTAATGGTTCGGATTCAGATTATGTCATTCTGCAGGTAATTTGTTTGTTCTGGAGGCTATGGAAGAATCGTTGTATGGTGGTTTTTCAATTCAAGCAGCTCTCTCTCGATGTTCTTGCTCATCAATGGTCTCATCAAGTTAAGGAAGTGGAGCAGGCTCTTTTATCTTCTACCCCAGAACCAAGATTGTCAGCTTCGTTGCCTGTGCAGGTCTCGATTGCAACACCAGGGATTCGGGTTACTTTTGATGCTGCTACTTCCAATTGTGGTTTTGGGACGGTTGGTTTTGTTTTCTTTGATTCTACAGGTGGAGTCATTGGGGCTGCAGCTCGGCGGTATGAAGCAATTAGTGATCCCTATGTGTTGGAAGCCCTGGGCTTGCGGGATTGTATACTTGATTGCTGCAGACGTGGGCTCCGATCCATATCATTTTGTGGAGATGCGAAATTAATCATTGACAAATGTGTGGCAAGAGATGCAGCGGACAGCAAGATTGGTGCCCTGTTGCAGGAGATATTTTTACTCTTGGATGGGATGGATGTGGTTGATATTCAGTTCATTGGTAGAATTCGTAACAGAGCGGCTCATTGTGTAGCCCGTCATGCTCTGCTTTTGTCGCCTCAATTGTTTGCGAGGTTCGACTTCTGTTCTTGGCTTCGTTCTAGGGGAATATAACCCCTTTAGTCCCCTTGTATCTAAACGATTTTCTCTTCTGAAGAGTGATCTAATGGAAAAAAAAAAGACGTCAGAGGTGCTGGTGTGTTTCTGTTATGGTTTACCAACAGTTTGTAAGTGACTACAATATGTAAGATAGTTGATTGTTTACCTTTGTGTATTGACGGTGGGGTTATACATTGATTTCATGGTTGGCAGCTTACATCTTCAAACGCACCACGTAGGACGTACACTTTCAGTAATATTTATCCTGATTTGACCACAAAGAGAACCGTCTTAAATTAAAAAAACTGTAAACAAGAGCTACGCCTAATTGAGAGAATTTCAGGTATTAACCTATCTCGGCTCGAATCGTATTAAACTGGAATACAAACTGGTAAACAAATAGTTTTTGAAGAGACTATCCAATGGGCATAACTGCTTTTGGGAAAAAAGGAGGCGAAATGATAAAAAAAAATTAATCATTCAACTATACCACCAATTCTTCAGCACATAACAAATGCATTATCTATCATGGAGGAAGTAACTAGGCAATGGGCAGAAATACAATCCTTCAACTTGCAGGGTAGTTGTGCATTTGCGGGTGGATGGTGTTCTTATGTCCTTGTACCAAAGAGTATGGCACTAAAGATTCTTGTTTTTTTTTTTTCCTGCTCGCGTCGCTTGTGCTATAGCCTGTAGGGGAGTTGTTAGAGCAGGTTCCCAATGGGAACACCTCACCTCAGGGTGTAATCCTCTATTTTGCATGATTCACATTTGAGTTGTTGGTCAAAACTTTCAAAATGCTAAAACTAATAATAAAGATGTTGCATAACCAAAAATCAACCTTATCCAAGTCACTGAACTGCTTTCGGATGCATCTTTATCCAACTCACTTAACTCTTTATAACAAGGAAAAAACGCCACTGAACTATAAAGTACCTTGCAAATAGGTTAGTACCATGGAGAATTCAATTCTAACTTCCATACTGAATATATGACACCACAATTTATCATGTGATGTGATGGAATGGAGCATAAAGTTAACTGGAAATTTTCTTTTGGTTCAATCAGGAAACTAATTAAAACTCAAGGAGAATTCTATATATACTTTTCCAATATCATTACCATATCCTATGCTAGTTCTCGAATGGTCTCAAAGGCCTAATCCTAAGATTTTGTACAACAACTTATATTTTAAGAACACAATCATATGAATAATTGGCAAGAAGATGGAACTTAATTTAAGGCTGCCATGTATCTTGATGGTTCAGCCAAGATAGGTAGACCCTCCGTCAATGACACTTGTGACCATTTGCTACGACGACTACCATTCAGTGCTAAGTGCTAACCACCATATGGGAATGCATTGCTTGAAACGTCAATAAAAAAAAAAATCCTAAGTGGGTTAGAAACTGGTGATTGCTGATGTGACCACAAACAGGAACCCCTGTCTCTACTCCGAAGAGCAGATTCAAGGCGTGTGCCAATAAGGAATGGGCAGAAGAACCCGCCGGGATCTTAGGTATTCGCACGAGGGTTCCACATGGACTCTACTCAATCAATCAACACCGTTAAAGTCATTCCACACAGAAAAACATTCGAGCTTATTCAGACATCAGCCCTTACCCACATGACTCGCAAGTTTGGACGCTTTGTGTTTGGCTTGGTTTGGTGACTGTTGTGCTGGAGAAGTAATGCATAGACTAATACTACCTTTCCCTTGATATATATATCACTTGGTAATGGGGATCATAATCATTGGGGGTGTGTTTTCCTACCGTAAAAATGCATGTATTTGAAATGAGAAAACTGTCTAAATCAGGCTGAAAATTCCAGCATTGAGGGAAATACATGCATTTGAAATGAGAACATCATCTAAATCGGTGGAATTTAAAATGAAGGGAAAAACTAAATAACAATAATGAGCATGACAAAAAAAACAAACAACTGTATGTCATATTACCTGGAACCGAAATGCATGCATTCTCAAAATATACCAGAAGGTTATTCAAGGCCCTTAGCTATTTGCCACCCCACTTCTAGTTATGTCTCCTGCACCTGCAGGTACACAAACTTTAAAAATTACATGTCTGCTTCCAGTCTATATTGACCATTCATCATTGTTTACTATACAACCTGCATTTCTCTATTTCACCAGCCGACCACCTGTTATATACAGCCCTAAGGTACAGCCACTATCCCTTTGTAGTTTAGTGGTGCGCCTAAAAGAGACATTCAAAACGTGGCAAAACTCCTTCGTTGTCTAGCTCCCAGTTCTTTTCCTCAAATGTAAGATCCCTCATCGACAAGGTTAGGTTGTGACAGTTTGCAGCCAAGGTTGTCTCTCCATAATAATGTGTTTTTGCAATAATGCACTTCCATGGTTACGTTGCTTCACTTAACAACCCATCAAATCAATGCCGTATTATACTGTACGATTAGTTCCCGCGTAACCATATTTTTCCTAATGGAAATGGTAGGGTTCTCATGTTCATTCTCTAGAAACTACCCAATAAGGCACTGCACCTCGATCGCAGATTTTTTCGACTCATTTAACTTCTCGATGCAACCTGGAACTGCACCAGAAGCAATATTTTCCTAGCAGATTCTTGAAACTCTTTAAACTGATTCAAAGATGTTGTTTTATAGCAGTGGTCTATTGATCCACAGGGAACTGTGAATACGGAGCAGATATCAAAGCAATGTGTAGCAAGTTACTGTAAGCAATTTGTGTTTACCTTGGACTATCTCTCAGCAGAAAAGGTTCCAGTTCCTGCAAGAAAGTAGCAGACAAACATCCGCAGGCCATTGCCATCATGAAGCAAAGTTGATAATCATGGCGAGTATAGATTCTAATGTGGAAAAAAGAAAAAATAACTAGTAAACTAAGCTTAACATTCAAAAGGGGCATGGTGTTTCCCAGCAAGCTTAGGATAGACAGTTTCTGCCACTTCAGAACATGGCAGCTCAGAGGGCTATGATCTCCAGTATATACGACGATCATACACCTGTTTTCATGAGGGGCTGCCTTTCGATTAAATGTGACGAAAGGGAAAGGAGGGCACCTGATAATTCAAGACTTTAACTATGGCACTACAAGACAGACATACGAGTAATCAACCTTGTGATTCCACGACAAGCACCAGCTACATTTCTAAGGAAATGGAAACAATGGGGAAAGGCACTTTTTAGTGGCCGAAAGGGCAAAGAACATGGAAGAATTGTACAAGACATCAGACAAAGGAAGCAAAGAAAACTCACTAATTAGGCCCATCCTTTGGAGAACTGGACCTTCCCGAAAATTAGTTTACCTGACAGGGAGTGACAGGGAGAACAGGTGTCCCAGGAACAATTACCCGCAAGCATCGAGACAACAAAGACCATTACAGATGACATGGACGTGCTCAATCCTAGGTACACATTAAGGCAAAAGTGAAGAAAAAGACCCAATGAGTCATGTCAAAAGGAAAAAAAAAGTTAAGGATGACGGGGAAGAATGTTGATAATCATGAGAGTCTACATCAACAGAAGATGGTCAGTTCCCACTTGAAATGGTCTGACTCTCAACATTTTCACAATAGAAACAGAGTTGTTTCATGCAAGAGACACAAAGTGCAGAGACAAAAACAATGTTGCAGTTAGAAGTATGTGAACAGAAGCATGACTTGCCAAAAAGGCTCGGAGAACTCTTCTTGTCACTCCATGGTGTCCCCAATAAATGAATGTATCATGCAGTAATAATGAGTACTGACTAGAAAATATCTGTTACCACGGGGTAACTGAACTGGCCACTTAAGAGTTGGTTTCTTTTGAGAGAAAAAAACTGTCACGTCTATGGAGACTGATCATTCATACCCATGTCAAAACTTGCTAATAAGATCCACTCAACCCAAGGTTTAAACCATTTTTAAAATGAGACTCCTAATAAGAACTTCTTGAATAAACATGCCCTACTGAAATATATCCTTCAAATAAGTGTCTTAATCTAGGTTTCAAAGGAACAAATCCCCAAAGTTGCTGCAGGCAATCTGTTTATATTTTTCCTCACTTTTCTCTTTCTTAAGTCTACTTCAAACATGCAAGGAACTGGCTATTATGATGACCATCAGGGACATCATAAAGGGGATAATTGGTTAATATAAATGAGTAAAAGTACACTAAATAGTAAATACTGATAAAGCTTCCTGACTTAAAAGTTGAAGTTCAATAAACCTAGACTTTTCAATCGAAGATTCAGTGAAGTAACTGAAACGTCAGCAACCAAATGCATGATTTACCAGTTTCTATGACAATACAAGTACAAAATGACTTAAAAGACCACCGTACTTGTTGCAGATAAATCAGCAAAAATATGTGATTATGTTATCATGATTCACCTCATTCGCATGCCATGTTCACAAGCAAAATGTACTTCGCAAAGCAAAACCAATGCAACACCACAATTTACTACATCCATTAGGAATAATAACGATATCACACATGCACAACATTACCACACAACTTGCAAATCGCTCAACTACTCCTTAATTCTTCTGCTTTATTTGACATTGACAAAGAACAGCCAACCAAAAACTTGTATGTATCTATATGTTTTTCTCTGCCTATGTCTGTGTCAGACCATTCTAGCACCACCTGCATTCGCAATCATGGAAGAGTCATTATTGAAAAGATCTCCGTATCCGTATGCTGGTCTTGGCTATCCACATCTCTACAGCATTTCCTTTTTCTCCAGCATAACAGACATATAAATTCATCTGTCCATATGACTAAGAAAGCAATCTAGGGACAGACCCTTAGGTGAAAGAGCAAAATGAGGGTAAGTGCTACTTGTATCTCTGTTCTTTGTTATATCAAAATATGATTGATCTTATAGCTTAGGTCTCATTTAATTGTTGCAGTTCCTAGGTTGGATGCACGATAAACTTCGGCAAACGAAAGCTGAGCAGTTCAAGGATTTCACTATAGGTAAAGAAACTTCCTTTTTACTACTGTTTATTTTCTAACATCATGGTAAATGTGCTTTAACATCAAGACTACCCAAAAATATATCCAAGTAGCAATGATCTTTCATTGACCCGCCTGATGTAGAAATCTGCTTTATCTCTCGGGAGCAGATTCAACTTTAGGGCTAAAGTATCCAGAGATGGATTTTCCAGCAAATTGGCCTTTTTCTCTGAAAAAAATTGAAAATTTTGAAGTTTCTTAGAGTGGACAAAACCCTGCATATGTGCTCTAGCATTATCGCTTCTATAACAACAGTATGTTTTGTGCATGTTAGTCGCGTGTGAGGTTCTGTGATATTCAATATTAGGCTTTGGGTCCATCAAATAGAATTCAAATGCCTAATTAACTCCTCAAAGAATGCTTTAGCTAATAGATTGACATACTTGTATCCCTATCAGTGAATTTAGACAAAAAGAGACAAAGTACATACCCTGTTCTAGATTCTGTTAATTTTTCTCAATGCTTTATCTTCAGGAAACTGTTGTACTTGCCTTTCAGCACCATCATCTCTCGATGACCAGTTCTCCCCTGTAAGACCAAGTTCTGAATCCAGAATCAGGTACAACTCTTTCAGTGAGCATACCCAGAGATTCGAAGACTCTTTCTGTAGGACTGAAGTTACAGGTATTTGTGTCACCTATGAAGGTGACACTGCTTTTCTCAGCTCTGACCTTTTCAACGGCTTTTTAGCCATCGGGACACTGGGTTCAGAACAAATCACCAGCAGCCCTGCAACACCGACATTCCCCACATCTTTGGAGGACGATAACCTTGCAGAAGAAAATATAGACGTGACAGAGAATGACCTGAATCTCATAAGAGATGAGCTAGAAAAATTTATAGAGGCTGAGGCTGAAGATCTACAGGGCAACGATGATGCATTGGCTAGAAGTAGTTATGTTAGCACTATCACACTCAGTGGTATGCAAATAGATGAAGCTGGAGGCCATGAAAAGCCAATAGTAAGTCCACTGCAAGGTTATCTGTTGGGGTCATCAATTGAATTGCCAGAAACTAGAGCAGAGAAAAAGAAGGAAAAGTTATCCCTTGGAGAGATCTTCCGCAGGACAAAGCTTACTGATGATGTCACTCCAATGGAGGTGCCTCCCAAGCAAGACAGAAAATCTGTCAAACTCCTGCTCAAAAAGATACTGAAGAAGCTTCATGCTCCTCCAGGAAAGAAAACTTCTCGGGATGATGCTGATAAATCTATCCCCAGCAAGAAAAAACCTAAAAAGGTAGGTCCTCTTGCCTAACGTACAAGACAAAGAGCTAGTGGGAAAAAAATAATTAATCATCTGAATGATAGCATTGAATTGGAACGAATTAGCACAAATAGATGTTGTTTACTTAAGGATATTTCAAGAACATCCAAGACAAAGGGCATCAAACAGAATAATTAGGTTGCAAATATATGACTCAAGTCATAGAAAGAGATGCTTACAGCTGAAAATTCATTTTGTTGATTGTCTTTCTAGTTGATTAATTCTTCTGTGATCTTTTTATCCAAAATTTCAAATTTCTCTATGTTTTTCATTCAGGTGCTTCAAATGTTCTGTCGAAAAGTGCACCCTGAGGATTCTAAGGGTGCAAAACAGTCAACCACATCCTGGGTGGAGCGACTAAAGGCTAGGCATGACACTACTCCGAAGTACAGTTCAATTGAAGGGACCACCAATTATGAGAACAGCTTGAAAGATCCCCAGTTTGGTCCCTGTAGCAGCCAGTCTAGCGGAAATACAGAGCACTGGATTAGAACTGATGCTGACTGTGAGTGCTAGCTTAATCATAGCATGAAAAGCATAACATTAGATGCATTCAAATATTGAAAAAGATATTATTTTCACCCGTGTATAAGAATACGAGCATTCAATACAAGTTTTCAAAACTCAAAAGTTAAGAGCATTGTCAATGTACCAACTGCACAACTCACTAGAATAAAGAATTTTTTTTATATATACTTGCTCTTTTCTTTGGGTTATAACGTATAGCTATTAGTATTGATGACAATATTGATGTTGCAACTGCAGACTTGGTACTGGAGCTGGAGTAAAGGAACTAAGACCATCAAGATGCATCAGATTGGGTTGTATACTTGTATTATCTGTGTGTTATTAAGTATTTGTTAGTGATTGAGCTGTGATGTACTGTACTAAAGTGAATGGGAAAACTGGAGAACAAGGACGTCCTTTCTCTTTATATTGTAAAATAAAAATGTTAAGCTCGAATTTTATATGAAAAACAATTTTCAGGTGTGATTCAGAACAATACTTTGCTAACTGCAAGTTCCATTCGAAAATTTTGATCCTCATTTTTTCCTAACAGATAAGTACCCCACCTAAAAAAATAAAACTCAGATTCCACACACATTCCTAATTTAAACAATTGGTACAACACAGCCCTGGCAAAGGATTTACATTTCCTGTGCTAATGTGAGGAAACCATGGGTACTACTAACAAACTCCCTTTTAAATGCTAATCAAGAAAATTGCGGGAATTCCATTATATAACAGATTGAAAGAGACAAAACTATTTGAATTTTTTTTTTTCATTTTGTAAGTCACAAGAGATTGAATTAAAGCAACACCATGGAGAAAAAGAGGTAAAGAACCCCACGAGCAACAAGATCATATGGATCGGTTCTCCTAAATAACAATAACAATGATAATGCACTGCAAGGAATTTTTTGGGGATCACAAATGACAAGGTTACAATATAGCATGTGTGGTGGTTGAGGCATGTGAACCTCCTCCAGAATCTTCCCTATTTATCCTTATAGAGCCAGGATCATGATCCAGTAAGACCAGTTCATCAATCAGCCCTAAATGCAACCTACGGACGCTCTCTCAATACACTGCCTTCTCAATTGATACCCAGTCCAATAAAAATTTAAGTTTGGAATGGAATGCACAGTCTACATCACAAGATTTTATGTTGCCCATGTACTACCAATTCAAGCCAATGCATTGTCAAAGGCCATTGATGCCAATTGATTGCAATTATTACATTTCCGTAACATAGAGGAAAGTAATGTCAGGTATTCGAACCTGGAAGCATGTCAGCTTGGTATTTAGTGAAGAATGAGAGGTTTCCTAACTTATACTGGAAGAAGCTCCTTTTGGAGAAACCCTCCCATCTGCATCCTCCAAGAATGATCAACAAGCGAGGTGAACTCTCTGGAAGAATAAAGCATGAAAAGTCAAAGATTCCATAAGCAAGTACAAGATTGTAAAAACAAGAATAATGATGATCTGCTATGGGAGCTTAGCTCGCAACCTATGTAACACCATTTGGAAACACCAGGAGAACATAATCCCATCAAGAACAGGCAAAATTTACTAAAACAGTGCAATAAGTGCACTGTAGACTTCAAGAAACTATGCCGTGTATTCCAGCAGGTACACCCAGCCCAACCTCCTCTCTCAACCCCAACAAAATATAAGTTAACGAATAAAATAAGGTTTTTTCAGAATGATGACATGTATTATTATAATTTGACAAACAGCTCTCTTAAATGCTCATATCCAATAGTGAAAGACATGACCAAGAAGGACTGAATCACCCAAGTAACAATGAGGAAAGATAAGCTGAGACGTAGATAAGCAATACTGTCCCTCAGTGCATAACAGAAAGGAAAATTTTCCACTCACTTGAGGTCATGACTGACCACCAATACAGTTAACTCTTTCTTCAGATGTTTCAACAGCTTTACAACATCTGCCCGTGCCTTCCAATCTGGTGCAAAGGAAAAATTCACAGGAAAGGCAGCAGACCATCTGAGAGACATATAATGACGTGAGAATAACTCATGGACCAAACATTCAATATTCATGCCCCTTTGATTAATCATGGTGGAAAATTGATTTCTGACAAACAATAGGCAAACTGTGGCTAACGCTTGTAGTAGTTAAGGTTGTTGACCATGATCATTTTAGAACCCCAAGTTAAAGTCGATTGAAGTGGCTAAACTGCCTCGGTAGTGACTAGTGATCTACCTCTCCCTTTCCAAACACAGAGGTTCAGAGACCAATAAATAGGAGCCAATGACCAGTTAAAGGATAAATGTGTCGCTGTGTTTATGAAGCAAAATTTAGAAAATCACTGAAAGGCTCCCAAGGCACCCACATCCTAGATGACAGTGTAACAGTAGAATACAGCAATATTCACGTATGCTTGATTATTCATTATCACAAAGAAAGTACAAATGCTATAGTTTTTGCATAATGAATACATACCAAGACCAGCAAGAGGCTCATCCAGTATCAATAGATCTGGTACTTGCACCTGAACATAAGAAAAATGATAATTATTACCAAGTCATACCATTAACCTGACCAAATACATCAGGAATTAAATTCCTCAATACTCACTAATTGAATAGCTAGGGCAAGCCTGCGCTTGTATCCACCACTCAGCGAATGAGGATCTTTATCTAAAGAAATTCCATTCAGACCAACCTAAGGTTCCAATTTATTCAAAGCAAGATCAGCAAAAAAAGAAAGAGAGACACTGCTCAAAATCACAACCAAAACCATTCATTTACCCAATTAATAGCCGTCTGAAGTTGTGAAACAAGCTGCTCCCTCACTTGAAGGCTGCTTTTTTGCCTCGGCCATCCAAAAGTAACTTCCTCTAGGATCGTATCAGCCACGAAATACCTAGCAGCAACAAGAAGGATTCTCATAACTGCTCCAATTGACATTAGAAATGCTTATCTCACAGAGTATACAGACAGACAGACATCCAACATGCAACAGGAATACTCAAGAAGATACAACATCTAAACCCTATCTCACCCAATACCTCTCAGGAAACTGGAAGACTATACCGACTCTTTCTGGAGGAAGAGGCTTGGGAGAGTCACTATTTCGGCTGCCATCACTCTTGTACCTTTGGATGCCAATGGTACCAGAAGTAGGCTTGTTCAATCCGGCAAGAAGCTGCCACCAGAAAACCCCCAAAATCACTGACCACTTGTACAATCACAAATTTTAGCGACATTGATGAAGCCCTTCTCCAAGAGTAGGAACCACATCATTTATTACCTGCAGAAGAGTAGTTTTCCCGCTGCCGCTCTGCCCAAAAATCAAGCCAAAGCTACAAAAAAGAAGGCACAAAATGAAACCAAAATTTCTCTACCAGTAGGTAAACCAGAACAGGATCGAGTCCAGAAGTTGAAAATAAACTCATCAGTAGTACCTCTTTTCTGGGAGAGAAAAACTGACATCGTTCAGAAGGTCGAGCTCCGTTCCGGGAGGTCTATACCTAACATTAGAAACCTGGAACGAAAACGGAATCAGCGAAATTGAGTCCTCGGAGCTCTCCAGAATTGAAAGAAAAAGGAAGTATGAGAAGCTCACTTCGAAGCAAGAGTAGTCGCCGGAGACACTGCTTGAAGCTCTTCCGATTCCGCGGAAATTCAGGCTTCTGCTGTGCAAATTTTTGCCGAGTGAGAATCGAGATAACGAGAGTGAACGAATTTGGACTGAGAGAGTAAAGGTGAGGAAACTGAGGTGGCTCACCCCCGGCGGCGAGAGATTGTTGACGGCGACAGGATCGATCCGATGCCTAGGAAGCTGGGGAGTGTGGGACTGGAAGAGGCCGTCATTCTTCCGTGCGGCGGGAAGTTTGCCTCCGGGAAATGAAATGACCATTTGAACAAAGCAAACGCGAGGAAGCTTCACGCAAAATCGAATAGTAACCACATTTCAAAACCATGGGCTTCAAGTAGTATGGCCCAATTCCAATTTCCAACTGGGAAAAGCCCAACCATTAGAATTATAGAGTGGGGATGATTATTTGATTAATTTCCATCGTTGATTTATGAAAAAAGAAATTTCCACATTTCTCAGGACCAGATTTGGAGAGATGGCAGCTATTCATTTACGAGGAAATTACATGCATGTTTCGTTGTTTCAAACTACAGTTTGACCATGTTACGTGCTTACTCTTAGGCGCTTTTGACCATGATACGTGCTTGCCCTAGAACGCTGTGCCGATGGAAAGGAGTTGGTCGAGGAAACATAGAAGAAGAAACAAACAACCACCATTAACTAACTTGGACCTACTCGACTATTATTATTATTGGCCTTCGGGGGGAACAAACTGGTGGTTCCTAATCCTAACTAATGAACTTAACTAATTAAGTGATTAATCCAATGGTGGGATCCACCAAACGGTACCATTCAACGAGGCTGCAGTCTGAATTCAGAAGGTTACTATATTGGGTTTGACTATTTGACTCCTCAAGTTCATACTATCTAAAGTGAAACATTCAATTGACTTTAATTCACGACTCAGGTTTCCCATTTGTGTGTGGTCAACGTACAGTAGAGACGCGCGATAACGGGTTTAGATTTGAAATGGTGTCCCGTTTGGTAATAATTCAAGTTATTGAGAGAAGATTATTTATACAGCGTTTATATATACCATATTTGAGTCATGGTTTTCAAACAGGAATACTCATCCTTTAAATCAAAATTTAGTTGTGTGTAACATGACGTAACCAAATCAACATGCATGTGATTTGGGGAAAATCCAGCTACATCATTTGCTCGGACAATTATGTTTTAAGATTTTGATATTGATTGAATTTTTTTTTAAAATATTGTTTGGAGCAGAGAGGAAGAATGGGTAATAATTTTAGCTTCTAAGTAATAAATATAGCTCTAGAGGGATATAAGTAACCAAAGTTGTGAACTAAGAAGGCATAGAGCATTCTTTTTTCTTTTTTTGTGTGCAAACATAGAGCATTCTTCAAACACGTGATTGTATGATTTCAGTGTCGATTCTTATAATATCAAATAAGCATTAAATCTATTACTCTTTCGGATTCGGGGAAAACTCATCATTCCTCATGGGTACCAATTGAATTTAACCCAATTGGAGACTCACAAAATCCGATCTAACCGAGTTCGATTGAGTAGTATATGGATGAGTTATCTTGTCTCCCATGTCAACATGTTATTTCTTTACCAATATTTAGTCAAAGGTTAAATATGTGGTCAAGGGGAAGAGTGAAACTTCTTCCTAAATTGTATGGTTGTTATGCAATGGGTTTCCTTGTAAGTTGCAACAAACTTCTTCCTCTTGACTAGTAAACATATAATAGGGATATATATGCTAAAAATATAATTCTAAGGAGCCATGTGATTATTTTTAGTAAATGGTATATGATTCATAATTGAAACTCTTTTAAAAACTCGAGTTATCTGAATCAACTAGTTTTTGACATGGTATCAGAGCCTTATTTGATCAAGAAGTTTTATGTTTGGGTCTCGATGACCTCATTTGTTAAGCACATGGTGTTCGGACCTGTGTAAACTTCAATTTCATATATGGTGACTTTCTTTTGGGGTGTGTTAGTAAGTGATATATGATCTATAATTGAACTTCTCTCGACAATTTGAATTATTAATATAACCGATTATTGACTTGACACTTATAATATGATCGCCAAGGGTGGGTTTGTGTTTCGTTGTTTTCTCTAACTTCTGATGCTCATGTAGTCATGTTGCTTGTTGAACATTAGACCAACAAGTGATGCGATAGTGGTTGTTCGATCAAGCAAGATACGTACACACATGAATAATGTTTACGATTTGGCACCTTAACCTTACTACTCATCATGCATGAATGGTGAAATGGTCAAATAATGCAGGTATTGATTTTAGATTGGGTCGATCCTATCCAATTGGCCTGAATCTCATTGTCGTCGTTGTAGATGGAGAACGTACGTAACTTAGTATAGTGTTTGATGAGCTTATATCTTATGTCGCACATTCGCACATCATTCTGATTGCATCGTGTTCTATTATAATCGGAGTTTGTCAAATAGTCCAATATGGACAATAAATGGGGAGCCATGTGTTTTAAATCACATGTCACCATGTTCGAGTAAGTACCTATTATTATTGGGGTTGGTTAAGTTTGCAGCGAGTATCATTAGGTTGAATGACAACTAGAGCAACTTCAAACTTAGATCGAATATATATATATATGGTGGCTTCTACGGTACCCCGGGTGAAATTCAGGGTACCGTATACCTTGAGTATGAAAACACTATCTAGACCTCGAAATAGAAAAAATTTTGGGCTTGGTACTATACCCTAATCCTTATTGAGTGAACCCTAGGTCCTAATTATCTAAATCATAAACTATAAACCCTAAGACGGAGCATTCATTTTTTTGCCTATATTTGGACGAATCATAGCCGTCGATTATTGTTTCTAATTAAATTGGTATTGGAGTATAAGATTTAGGGAGCTAAGACCTAGATTTTGATCTTTAAGGGTTAGAGTATAATATCATGTCCAAAAGATCAATCAATTCAAGGTCTGGATAGCGTTTTCATACTCAAGGTATGCGGTACACCGGATTTCACTCGGGGTACCGTAGAACTCGCCATATATACACGAAGGATTTTTGAGAAAGACATACCATACATATCCAGCTCTACATATGCACGTGAATGTATATATCGTTTATTAATAAATGAGGTATTTGGACAAGAGAATACATGATGCTTAATATAAAATGTTAAAGATAATATGAAGTTATGAACTAATGTATACTACGTACAAAGACATCAAAAGACATTGTAAATGAATATTAATTGGTTTGGTTGACTATCCATGCCGCATTGTCGTCATTCAATGGGGATGTATTGTGAACTTATAGTCTGTAGAACATATGTTGGTGGTTGAACATATTTAATATGTCGTGACTAAAATACAAATGTTAATTAGCACCGTGTGAGACGACAATACAGCTTCAAGGCCCAAAATTAGATGATAAATAAATTATTGACTTTGATAACTTTCTCAGTGTCCTTCTGATTCTTCAACACACGGATTGATTGACTCCACGATTGAAAAAATGTGCATTCTTATTTTGACTCTCTTTGTTTGTTTTATAGAATGAAGACAATATTATTGATTGGTTTATAGAAAAAAGACAATGTTATTGATGAGTAAACATAAACGATATTATTTAGTATTAGTAGCAACTCATCGTACTCTTTTTAAACTATACATATAGAGACCAGATTGGTGGGAAGTGCAAATCATGGTCACTAAAAATGTGAATATAAGTAGCCATCGAGATGTAAATGTGATTATAATAATTACGCAGTGGTGGATCTAGGAAGGGTAGATTACTGGGCCACATTTAAAAAAAGGCGTAGAGCATTGTGCCATTACGCGATGAACACTGAAATGAATACTAAAAATAAAAAATTTACAAATATTATATATTGAATCCAGAGAGGGCTGGGCCATGGATTTGAATGTGGGTTTTGGGTCTTATATAATTAGGTACTTACAAAATATGGAAAAAGATTCATATAATAAGAGGACCAAAACAAATATATCATGATGGATTTGAATGTGGGTTTTGGGTCTCATATATGTATCATCTAGCTAAAAATCCACATGTTTGACTTGCCACTTGTCCAAGTATGAATTGGCATGTGAAAATTGAGATTTTGGTTCAACAAATCCCCATATTTTGTCAAAATTAAAAAATCCATTGTTAGTAAGACCGAGATCCGACCAGTCGGATAACAATCGAACCCCCCATCTTTTGGTAGTTAAAGTAGCTGCTTCTCAACTGTGTTACTACTTATTTATGCAAACATATATATATATATATATATATATACATAACTATTTACCCATAAAAAATAGTTTGTACCACATCGTTAAAAACAAGACTTCAAATGACTTAATAAGGCCAACTTAAGTATAATTATTAAAATCAATTAAGTGAGCCACATGGATTGAGTTTTTTTGGCCCATACCCCCATACCATCATGTACACACTACACTCTATCCATCTATTCTGAGATTTGGCTAAGTGTTTGGATCAACCCCCCCCCCCCCCCCAACGTGGCGAGAGTGTGATCGACATATCGCCGCCCCCATGACGTGGTGAGGGGGTGATCGACGTACCGCCACCCCCATGATATGCCGAGAAGGGTGGTCACCATACCGTCAACCCCACGATGTACGGAGGGGTGACCATTATAATGCCACCCCCATGACATGTCGAAAGGGTGGACATCATACTGCCACCTCCAGGACCCCTAGGACATGCCGAGGGGGGTGGCCATCATTATCGTCACCCTCATGATGTGCCGAGGGGGGTGAGTATCATACTGCCACCCCCATGACGTGCCAAGGGGGGTAAGGAGGCCCCATGACATGATCAGGGGTGATCATTTTTGGTGAAATAATTTAGCTAAGTATGGAAGATGACGAGGATGGCAAGGAGCAACCTCCATGGTATGATCAAGGGGCGGGGAGCCGGGGATTAACATATGCCCCCATGAGGTGGTTAGTGGGGGTTACCAAGATACCACCCCCTATGGCAGTGGCGGACCTAGGAATTTTACATAGGGGTGTCCTCTTTTAAAAAATAAATTAAGTAAAATTAAAATTAATAAAAATAAAAAATTATAAATAAGAAAATACCTTACTCGTACAGGTTATAAAAAGTTCATGATGTGTTTTGATATTCAGAAATAATTGTAGAATACACTTGGTGTCTATAGTGTTAAAAAAATTGTCTCTATATACCCTACTAAACAATCATTCACGAGCTGATCGC